AACCAGTTAAAATGATTCAATTTCAATTTGATTAATTAGACAAACAATACAAAATCTTTTGAAGAACGCGTTTGGTATTTGTACGAGCAATCTTATCAGCATATCTTATATATATCTTATAGCAAATCTTATGGATACACTTTTAAACATATTTCTAGAGGCAGTAGAGGTGGTGGAGTTGGTTTTTTGTATAAAAAATCCTTAAAACTTAACCAAATTTCTTTTAATAAATACAAGTCTTTCGAACTTATGGGCATGTCTCTTAATTCTTCACCACAAATATCTATTTTCGTCTTATACAGACCACCTCCTTCTAAGCGCAATAAATTAACTGAGGTCATGTTTTTTGAGGAATTTTCTCTTTTCCTTGAGCAATTTTCTTCGGGATCTTGTTCTTTCCTACTAGTGGGTGATTTCAACTTTCATGTTGATGATGTCTTGGATTCATATGCCAAAAAGGTTTTTTAATCTACTCGAGCTTTTCAATTTAACACAACATGTCAAAGAGGCCACTCATCGTAACAATCATATACTTGACTTAGTCAATACTAGGGCTCAAGACAATGTTATTTCCAACATTAGTTTCCAATTCACTTGGTTTTCTTTGTTATTCATAGGGTTGTATATACCATAGAAACTTAAAGCCGGGGAGGGATTTGATAATCAGCAGGGAAATGTGGGGTTGATGAATTGAATTGAATAGCTMGTTATAAATTCAGCGGGCTATATATGAGTTACCGGAATCACTCATATATAGCCCGCTGAATTTATAACCAGCTATTCGATTCAATTCATCAACCCCACATTTCCCTGCTGAATATCAAATAAACTTAGTAAACTAAACTATTTTTTCCCTTAAAAAGACCAGTGTGGCTAGCAAAACTTGACGGGAGATTGAGCGCGTAATAAGTTCGAGTCCCGCAGCTTTTCTTCGTGTTCATCAGAGAAAAGAAATAACAATAACCATCTTCGTTACTTTTAACTAAGAATCTATACGTCGAAATTGGGCCAACGTGTATGAATCAGAAGTAATAGTGTAACTCGTATTTCTCCGCTCCTCGGTCCATTCTATCCAAGCACGTACACACGGCCATTTGGTACTTTAGTTTGTTCCTTCTGGRATCCTTCCCTCGTATTTCTTTGAGCGAGTTCAACATCAAAAGCTATTGTAATTTTTCTCTTGTTTTTCTCATCTGCAGACTTTGTCATCGTTATTTGCGGGCAGAGGCATACGGAGTTCCAAATCYGACGCAAATAGTCAATATCAAAGTTGATCGGCAAAGGAATGATGTCAAACGTATTTTGAGCTATACACCGGGCTATACACAAATCGTCGTCACTGTTCGACATCGTTTCCAGAATGACTGTTAAGAATATTTGATAAAAATATTCAACATTGGATAGCTCGCTTTCGCATGAACAGGTTTTCTTAAAGGAAACTAATTTCAACAGTCCATGAAAAGGTCTCGAGAGGATTCTATTGTTCGAATCCCAACTAAGAAAACATTCATTTAGTCTATTCAGTCTTTGCGAAAACCACGTGAATTGAAAACTAAGTTTGTTAGTTACCTCGCACGTCGGCATTACGCTATATACAGCCCTCGGGCCTGCGGCCCTCGGGCTGTATATAGCGTAATGCCTCCGTTCTCGGTAACTAACTCTTACAT